AGAGAGAGAGAGAGAGAGAGAGAGAGAGAGAGAGAGAGAGAGAGAGAGAGAGAGAGAGAGAGAGAACGTGAGGTCAGTTCTAATCCAACCACCAGCAACTGACCAAACCCTTCAACCTCTCTGCTTTTCAAGACAAAAAAACATTTCTTCATCGTGGGCGAAGCCACAACAGGTAAGCTAGTAATTCATTGCTTTCTCAAGGGGCTGTACCGCAGTCCCTACTTCAAGAAAACGTACTGAAGGATCTTTCTGATGGAAAGTTTCATCTATTAGGATAATCCATGTCTGTGCACAAGTGTAATCTGCAGTAGAATCTATATATATGGGCGAAAGCCGCAAAATGATTCTCGGTGTGCTGAAGATGTGAGCCAGAAAAAAGTCTGTAGTTTACTGTAACAGAACACCTAAAGAGAAGACTTGACAGAAGGTTTAATTCGTTGCTTGTGTCATAACTTGGTTGTCTGACGATTTTTACCGCCACTCACACACAGACAGTCTCATACACGCCCATACATGCATAAGAGAAGGGGGAGAGGAGGCAGAGTCCACACTGCACACAGATCAGAGTAGGCAGTGAAAGTTCAACCATGCACAGATGGGGAGAAGACACTCAGTGTTTCTCACTCTCTGACAGACTCCCAACAACCAATCACAAGAAGAACCTGCGAGGATAACAATTGGAATACACACTGATGAAAAGCCAATAAAACCAGATATCGTTACAGAGTGTGTTCCAGTATCTTGCCACACTCAGAACCCCACACTCCACTCTCTATCCTACACCCAGTTAGTAGCGCACAACCAAAACAGCCTCTAAGAGGCCAGCGCCAACCACCCAGATGAAGAACAGATCCTGCGATGAAGTCGTCAGTGCCAATGGACATCTCTGACGAAGAAACAGGCAGCTATGGCTGCCGCCACCCACAAGCACGCAGTGAGGAGCCTCGATATAGCCTGGTCAGACGAAGATACCCCAAGGGTAGATGCGCTGAGGGTGCCCCAGCTCCGGCAACCTTCAGAAGGCCAGCTATGGCTGCCGTCCGCAGCAAGGGTCTCAGGATGCCGCCTGTAGACAATTGCCACCGCCAACTTGCTTGGCTTCTCCAAACGCTGTGTCGCGAAAATTAACAGCCAAAAGTCCCAAACAGTCCTATGTTACGATCCTGGTCATTTCCAAAGTGCAAATTCACAATGAAAGACAATGCCACCCAATTGCAAAAGAAATGAAAGCACTTGCAAAGAGATAGAGACCAGAGGAGAGAGAAAGAAGAAGAAGAAGAAGAAGAAGAAGAAGAAGAAGAAGAAGAAGAAGATGTACACCAGCAAGACCAATGACAATTCCCCCTTCTCTCTCCACCTTCCTCCTCCCCCTTCACTTCGCCAATCTTATTCTTCTCTCAATAATAATAATAACCATGAATGGATGAACCAGAATCAATATCTGAAGTTCCCTCTTACTGCTGACTCAACAACGACAACAACAACAACAAGTCCGCCATAGCTATGGCTTCCCTCCTTCAGCCTCCTCTCTCATGCATAGGCTATGGCGGACTACTGAGGGCCCTGCCCTCCTGTCCAAAGGACAACCCAAAGCAGCTATGATGCTGCTGAATGGTCCTCGATGCCTGACTCTGCCTCAAGCTTCCTTGGTGCGGCACTACCCCAACTGGGGCCTTCCAGATGCAGCGCCCAACAAGATGATGAAGACGGTGTCCACCATAGCCAGGGAGGTGCCTCGCCACTTCCCTCCTTAGCCCCCTTCTTCCTCCTCCTCAAGGTGGACTGCTCGCCATAGCCAGGCTGAGCGCCAGCTGCCCTTCACCTCCAAGCAGCGCTGTACCAGTCCAGCGCTGTGCTCCAGCAGCATGTCGCCAATCCTTGCATACCGCAAATGAGGAGGAGCTACTTGCTCCTCCGAAAGATATAGCGGCCTACTGGCCTCCTGGGCGGTGACTTCCTAGGCCGAGCGGCCTCCAAGCAACCGGTACCTCCTCCATTTCGGAGGGAAACATCATTGCAGGCTCTGCTAACCTCCGGACAGGTCGTAGACCCAGGCTACTTGGACTGGTACCGGCTACCTCTATCCTACCGCTACTGGGCCTCTGAAAATGCCAACTTTTTTGTCTTCTTCTGCTCGGCCTCCAGTACCCGACACTCCTACCACTACTCGAGTGGTACCGGCCTACCTGCTACTTGAGTGTTTTTCCCCGCTGCTCTAAGTGTCGCGGGCCTACCCCCGCTACTTGAGTGTTTACCCCCCTGCAACCCTCAAAGTCACGGCCACAGGTAAGTACTGGCCCTGCGGGGCCTTGCAACCAACAAGTACCCTTGCGGGTCACACACACACTCAACCGACAAGCACTCAGACAGGCATGCAAACCAGCAGGCACTCACACACACACAGACTTGGAAACCCCAGCAGAATGCGGGAATCACAGCAAGGCATTCATTCCAGTGGCAAATCCCAGAAATCAGCAGTGTTCTCAGTCTGTGTTTTTGGCGGGTCGTTACACCTACCCCAACCTGCTTGTAGATTCTACACTTCCTAGCTTAGGGCCTACTGGTACAGTTTCAGTTAGGGCCTACTCAGCCTCTACAAAATCGGTCCTACCGCTGCACTTAGGGCTCAGGGCCACTTAGGGCCGGTAACCACTCAGCCCCTACTGCTGTTAGTCTAAGCTATTTTTAGAACAGCGGGCGGCCCTCAGTGCAAACAAAAAAACACAGCAAAACACACAGCACACACACTGTACAACCTCGCAGTCAGTCTCGGCAGTCGAAATCAGCAAGTCATTGCACTTGTGTCTCTCCCTTATTTCCTACGTCGAAGAAAATGTATGGAAGGCTCTTTCTGATGGGAAGCCTCATCTGTGAGGCTAATACATATCTGTGCACAAGTGCAATCTCTGCACTACCGTCTTCACCCGAATACAACGCCCAGTCATTATAGGTGTACTTGGGGCAATTTTCGGTCCCGATGCAGTGATAATGACCGGGCGTTCTATTCGGTGTGAAGACGGTAGGCTCGATATGGACAAAAGGTTCAAATGATTTTTGGTATGTTGAAGACATGAGCGAGACTCAAACCTCGACTCCCTCGATGATGCGGATAACATACTACATATTGCATCTGTGTTCACATCGCTTTCGATCCATCCCTTTTACTCATAATTAACAACGGTGTTTTGATGGCGTGGTTGATGCATCCTTGTTCAGACCTGTACCACTAATCACTTCCCATTGCATTCAACAAAAGTGCCACGTCATCAATAGTATTACATTACATTTTATTTTTATATGGTCTTCCCTACTTCTTGTTTGTGACATCAGTGGAGCTCAACCCGGCGATCTTATCTCCCTCATGTGTACGTATGCTGGCACAAGATGGGATGTTACTCTGTAGTCACGAGCATGCATTTCTTGTGCAGGGTACTCTCTTCCCCCGAACACAACGCACCCCTATCTTGGCTGGACTCGTACCGGAAAGATGGCTTGTATACATTCATCGTCGTGGTGCGTTATGTTCGGGGGAAGACGGTACAGTAGGAATACCCAGATGAGTGCATGAGAGGGAGGCAAGGGGGAGCCGGGAGGGAGAGGGAATAAAGAAGACGAGCTGACAAACCTAGAGAGGGATAGGGTGCATTGAGAGGGCTAGAGAATCTGATGGGGAGATTCTCCACGTGGGTTCGGGAGCACTTTAAGAGGAGGGCTACCGAATCCGATGTTGAGAGTCTCTGTGCAGGTTTGGGAAATGCCGGTGCGGTGCCAACGTGTTTTGGACACCTGTTGTGTGGGGCTATGTGGGCATGGTCCGCTTCGTGGTTGTTCCCTCGCGTGCATGCACGCTTAGTACGCCACACAATAACTTCCTTCCTGTTTTTTTTTTTTTTCCTGTCGCATAATCCTTTTTGCAGAACAATCCCTTATACCTCCAACATTTCACAGACGGCGATGACGAGCTCAAGTTTCACTACATAGTCCACTCCGCTTTGGACGTCATTGAGGAGAAAGGTATGTGTGTGCATTTACCTGTACAGGCACTTGCTGGATGAGAGGTATGCTGTTCGCTGGGCTTCACAGCGCAGGCATTGTTATACGCAAATTTGTGATGCAATCGTGCAGAACCTTGTGCTTCCGTTTTCTCTTTTCTTCAACCTTCTTTGGTCTTTTTTTTTTTTTTTTTTTTTTTTTTTTTCCCCTCCCTTTCCCGATCTCAGATACTCTTGCTGCCAATCTTATAAGGGCCAGTTTTTGTTGGGGAAAAAAGGGCAAAAACTTGAAAAAAGGATTATACTTACGGCTCATTAGCCATCACTGAGGCATCGAGGAAACTGTGGCTGTATGTTGGGTATGTTCGATGCCACCCAAGACCTTAGACTCCCTTGATGTCGAGTCCATGAGCCACCAAGGTCGCATTTGGAACGGCCAAAAAAGAGTGCGGGTCTTGGCTATTTGGTCACAAGTGGCTATTTGGTCACAAGTGGGTGTTTGTGGCCTGGCCTTGGAGGTATGATGGATTGCCTTGCATCAGGATCACCTTGGGAACGGCCTTTCGAGTGTGGTCTCAAAGGCTGGGCGAAGCCCTTGGTACAACCACTTCCAACATCTGTGACCGTATAGCCGAGGCCCAGCTTGGACGACCAGTACCGAGGCCTTCGCCCAGCCTTTGAGACCAAACTCAAAGGCTGGGCAGGTCTCAAAGGCTGGGCAAAGGCCTTGGTACTGGTCCTCGGCTATACGGTGACAGCTGCTGGAAGTGGCTGTCTGTGACCTGGCCTTGAAGCCATGATGGCTTGCCTGTTAAAGCGCCAGTAGTTCCCAGCCTCTTTTTCCCAATGTGGGGCTTTGCCCGGCCCGAAGAAATCTGGACCGCCTTGGCTTGTGGGTTGCCTGGTGCAGCCAGCTTTTCTGCGACAAGCACTCCAAAAAAAAAGCAAGCAAAATTCCAAAATAGGGCCCTGTTTTATGTACTCCTTTTTCAAAGAAATTGCCCGTCGGTCTAACAATTGTTTGCTCTATAACTAATCAGAATAGAATCCCTAGTTGCTAGAAAGGGACCCTGTTTTATGGACTCCTTTTTTTAAAAAGAAGTTGCCCCTCGGAATATATGACATGTTGGAATTCACAATTTGTACCTCTCTTCTCACTTCACTCTATGCCCTCCCACCTCCTTAACTGAGGGGGCTATATTCAACTTGGAAGAGCAGTGTGACTTAAACCACCAGTACTTCCTAAAGTTGTGCCCGTTTACGCGCCACAATTTCAGGAAACGTACGGGCCACTACAGGAGCGCCCAAATTCATCGAAGTAGAAACATTTCTACTCTTATTTTTTTCCGCGGCCAATAGCTGGGCCAAGTACTGGTGGTTTAAAGGAATCCGGATGCACCCCAGTGCACAGACTAACCAGCAGGTGTCCAACCTGGTTAATCACCCCCGGGCACCACCCTTTTCTGACCAGATGCGGCAGAAAAAGTTTTACTCTACAGGTAGTGCATGCTCGCGACTCCAATGAGATGACAGTCAAAATAAAAAAGTATAAAATGCTCTTCGTCACGGTTAAGGAGAATAAGAGAGAAGATAAGTTTAGGGATACTTATGCTGCCGCAACCACAGATGATCTCACCAACTGTTATGTTGCCCCCTGTTTGATTACTGGCCAATGCGCTCACGAACCACCGACAATACAATGCCAGTACCGCCTTCAGCAACTGCAAGCGCCGATATGTTCTCACTGCATTGCCACACATTCCAGCAACCTGCCACCGCTGCGCTCTCTACCTAACGCATGAGTTTACAAGCGGGCGAAATTGGCGTCAATAGCACTGCCTGTGTGCTTTTGCCGGCACCACAACAGCTCTCTTGCCTCTCAGACGGCAAGCGAAGAGAACCTGTGCAGGTGCCAAAATTCAAGGAAACATCCAATGAGAATGCAATTTTTTTTATTTTATTTTTTTAAAATCCTTTTTCTCTTTGTTTTTTTTTCCATTTCTCGATTTATGTGTGTCATCCTTGCGCAGGGGCCATGCTAATCTTCTCTGTATCGTTCCAATTTTAACGGATGTCCCGAAGGAGGGAATGCAAAGAATGCAAAATTTCTAATATGCGAAAGAAGCTTAAATCACCAGTACCTACCGGCCCAAACGCCTCCGGTCCAAGTTCATTCGATCCCGGGGGGTACAAAAAATACAAAAAATGCAGCAGGTACTGGTGGTTTAACGGACGACTAATCATCAGTAAGCGTAGTTGAAAGCAGAATTACCAAAGCCGAGAGCAAACCAAATGAAGAACACAGTGAACACTGAAGCCTCTCGGGAATGAAAGCCCTGGTTGCTTCTCCAATGATCGAAACAGCGAAGACGTAGTAGGCCTAGTAGTCTCCTACTGAACCCAGACACACTAGCCTATTCCCTCTCAATCCCTCCTCCCACTCTCCCTCTCGCCAGACGTTGCTTATGAGTCTCTGATCGCACGAGGTGCTCCTCAGCCAACACCAGGTAAGCATCTGCTTGTACCCACAACCGGCTTCCTTCCCTGACCCCCTTCCTCCTCGCCACCTGCTACGCTGCTACCACTTCTCTATGCTGGCCAGACGGCTACCGCCTGCCTTCCTTTTCCTTCCCAGGGTGTTTACCGGTTGCACATGCTGCTTCAGCGCTGCTGCGTGCTGGCAGCCCTAGCTGCATGGCTGCCTCTAGTTTGTCTCGTCTGGAGGATCCCCCCCCCTGGCCAGTCACTGCAGCCTACCAGTCTGAGTCTGGTTCCAGCCCATGTAACTAACTGAGCTACAGGGCCTACGGGCAAGTTGCCTGCGCTGGGCTCCAATCTCGGGCCCAGTGTTCTCAGGTGTGCCCTCTGTTCAGGGCTGGCTCACATTTTCCAAGGCCCGCCCCTTTCCACTAGCAGCCTTTTAGGGGCTCCGCCGAGGCCTGAAATTCACATCTTTTATCCAGTCTGGGATAATGCTTGATATCAGAGCACGGAACTCGATCTGGCCACCTTGCCCTGTGATGATAGTGTGACTGTATATACGATTCTTGTTTTGGACCTCACCCGGGCGTGGCGTTTCAAGACAGCCTTGTGTCGTCAAGTGCAGGTCCGAATACTCGGGGTTGGTGTAGAATGAAATTAAAAAATCTTGTTTATTCAACTTCATTGGTAAAGAGAAGAGGAGTGAAGTGCATTTTTGGATGTGGACTTCGCATGTCTTTTTTTTTTTTTTTTAATAAATGAAGTTTAATAAACGTCCAAGCATTCCAGAGGTGACTTCTCTTTCGCGGCTGCTAGAGTCCTGTGCAGTTACATTCCACAGAAGTTGGGGAAAGAATCCGAAAGATCTTTTTTTTTTTTTTTTTTGGGATTGGGCCAGTAATTGCTTTCTGTCAAATGTTTGACAGTTTTTGTACTCTTCTCTTCGCCGTGCAACTCTTACAAGAAGCCTTTTATAACAGAGCAACAACTTTGGTTTTCTGG